CAGGTCAAACTGCCAGGTCACGAGGGTCAGCAAATATGGCTCCCCGGTTTTAGAAAGACAGCAATGGGGGTCATTGGAGCGGGTTAAAATAAAGAAAAAGGGGAGAGCCAACAAGAGGCTCAAGACTGTTTTGAGGCGAGGATAGAGGTCAATAAGCAATGGGGGCTAAGAAAATTGGCAAGGTTAGGGTGAACTTTTGAGAAGCATGAACTCAAGGATTTTAGAAGTGTGAAGAAGAAGCGAAGGAGTTTGGGTTTTTATACTAGCACTGGCATTCAAGACGGAGAGGTGTGGTTCTCGTAAGATGAAACAGCCTGACAACGCATTTAGGGCGCGCAAGGATATGACAGAAGCCTGGGGATGACGTTTCGATTGACGAGGCAAAATAATGACTCATGCGAATTCGAAAGCACGATGACGTGTCGAAAGCCCAGAGACCGTCGTTTTGTTTGACAAGGCAAAGCGACGCTTCGCATAAGCCTGGGTAATGATGGCCTGGGCAATGATGGCCTGCACGACGTGCTTAAGCATTAAATGCGCCGATTGACCGGCGCATTTAATACCCCAGTTGTCAATCACTTCGGAAGGAATGCTAAGGGTCCATCCCTTGGAATCCATTCGACCCCTACCTACGCCGAGACCGAAGGATCCAGGGATGTGGGGGCAATGTTTGTGCCTAATAAATCACGGCCATGAATTGGCCGAAGGAGCCCCTTTTCTCGGCCCAAGCACTTCCTCGAGAAGATAAAGCGCAGCGTTTCGCCAAGATGTTTTGCCTTCCTGAAAACAACGGAAAAGTTGCCAAGGCATGATCATCTCGGCCTCGATTGTAAGCCGAGGCCGAGGCCGAGCAAAATCACGCCCAGAGATATCAGAATCAAATCATCACGCGATAGCAGGGTCCCATGCTTCATTTAATGAAGTAATGCCTCTGTTTATTGCAGCAAACCCACTGGCCACGAATAAGTATTTAATGCATGAGGGAAGGTGGGAAGTGATTGAAGTCAGGTTGTGGCGACATGAAACAGAGTGATTAGACGTGGACATTCTCACAAGAATTCTTGCAGCTTGAGAGAGTAGGTCACCAGCTATCAGAACAATAAATGCATCTCCACGGCCAGAAGCGCAGAGCCCACGATCAAGGCGGCGGCCGAGATTCACCAGGATTTATGGGGTCACACCACCATACTTCATGATCCCAAATGTCGATTAGACTGCCCCTCGGCTACAATCGTTTGATTAGAAGACGAGTCCAAACAGGCGCACCACTTAACCATTCTATCCACATCAACCATCTCGACGCACGGTAGACCGTGCTGGCACGCCCGCGCACAAACGCACCGCACCCAAAAGCAGGAAGCCGCGTGTCAACGCATATCCCCTCGGCCCGGAAACCCAGGCCATGAGATCTGCGCGGTAGACAGGTCCAGCCGCATAAAACCTTGGAACCCCAAAAAACCTTTGACCCAGGTGCTCTGGTTAAAGAGATTTCACAAGAAGGGGGTAATTGGAAAGAAGCAAAGGAAAAGTGGGAATGGAGGATCGACGAAATTAGGGTTCCAAATGCCTATAAAAGAGAGCTTCCTCTACCTAGAAAAACACACCATTCCAGAGCACGACCAAGCTTTGTCAAGCAAACTGGAATTTACTCTAGACGACTCTTCCTCCATTGTCTTCTCCCTTTTTCTCATTGAAATCCTCCTAATTTTCTTCTTTCCTTACTCTGAACCTTTTCTTCTTTCCTCTGTAAGAAGTCCACGCTCTTCTCTCTCTCTCTCAAATTGCTAAACTTGTGAAGACTCAGCTCCCATGCCACAAGCTCTTCAAGCCAAGTCCCTTATTAGTTTGTCATGTTTATTTGGTTATTAGTGGAAAGAACCTGAAAGTGTTTTTTTTCTAAGGTTTTAGCAAGCCTTTTTTAAAACTCTTTTCGGAGCCCGGTTCTTGAACTCAGGCATTAGGGGGTTTTGTTCGTTTTCTTCTTACAGCAGCCCAAGCCCATTCGTCAAGCTGCTGGAACAAAAAGACCCCTACACATTTCACTAAGGACGGGCAAAGGGGACTTACTTTTCTTTTTATCCCCATTCTGATTAGAATTTGTCTGCCGCGCAAATCTCACGGCCTGGAGTTCCGGGCCGAGGGGACGTGCGTTAACACGGGGTTTCCTGCTTTTGGGTGCGGTGCGGTTGTGCCCGGGCGTGCCAGCACGGTTTACCGTGCGTTGATGTTTTGATGAGCGTTGGATGGGTGAATGGTGCGCCTGTTTGATCTGTCTTCTTGGTCAAACGATTGTAGCCGAGAGAGGAACTGGTCTCGGCTGTTAGGTTCACGGCCTGAACTACAAGGCCATTGAATGATGGTGTTGGTGGTGGATTTTGGGCGGTGCTCCGACGCGCTGCTCAGGGAGCGACGGTCGTGTGATATATGGGGTGAGTGAGCGAACAAACAGAGATGGTGCTCCGGCGCCTTGAAAATCAAGGGTCGTATGATATATTGATGAATGGATTCTGCTTACAACCTAACACTACTCCTAGGAAAGCAAGTAAAGATATTGAAAGTGCATTACAGAAGAAAATAAGTTGCTCCGTGGGAGGCTTGTTTTGGTGTTTGAACCGTTTGAATGTAGCTTGAGCCTTGTATTTATAGGAAGAGTCCCTGGATGAGTAATCGAGGCTGAATTTACGCATAGTGGAGTCTGATTAGCGCAAGTGGGCAATCCAATCGACATTTGGGATCGTGAAGTATGGTGATGAGACCCCAGAAATCCTGGTGAATCTCGGCCGCCGCGCTCAATCGTGGGTTTTGAACCTCTGGCCGTGGAGACGCATTTATTGCCTGGATAGCTGGTGAACCAACATCTCAAGCTGTCAGAATCCTGGTAAATTCGAGCTTGGACGGCGTTGGCCTCGAATGGTTTTTCGTCGGCCGGGTGTATGGACACCTTTTGGCCGTCCCAGAAAAATAACAGTTGGAAAAGGGAAGATGGCTTGAGGCCGAGATGATCGTGCCTTAGCATTTCCTTCTTTTATTTTCAAGAAGGCGAAGATGCCCTGGCGAAACGCTGCGTTTCAGCCTCTGCAAACAAGTGCCAGGGCCGAGGTAAAGGGCTTCTTCGGCCTGCTCATGGCCGTGATTTATCAGGCACAAACATTGCCCCCACATCCCTGGATTCTTCGGCCTCGGCATGGGTAGGGGCCGAATGGATTCCAAGGGATGGACCCTTTGCATTCCTTTCTGAAGTGATTGACAACTGGGGCATTAAATGCGCAGGCCAGTCGGCGTATTCCGCGCATTTAATGCCTTAAGCACGTCGCGCAGACTATCATTGCCCAGGGCGTCGCGTCGCCTCGTCAAATGAAACGACGGTCACTGTCATAACTTCGCGTGCTCTGAGTGCGCTGTCAGGCCTTTTCATCTTTCGAGATCAAACCTCCGTTTCGAGTTCCAGTGCTTAGTATAAAAACCCAAACTCCTTCGTATTTTCCTTCACACTCCCAGGCTTCCTGAACTCATCATTTTTTCTTTGAAGGTTCAAACTGTCCTTCCCCAGTTACTTCACCCTCGTTCTTCAAACTTAACATTATTATCCAGCGAGCCTTTTCCTTGCTTCAATCGCTCTGGAACCCTTTTTGACTCCTGGGCTTCGCCCTCCCTTATTACCAGCTGTCTTAATGATCTCTACTGTAACTTCCTCCAAACCAAGGAGCCAAACCTGCTGAGTCGTATGACTGGGCAATTTGGCCTGGTCCAGATGACTTGGCAGTTTGATGAGGGCGAGAAGATCTGGGACGATGACCTCGTCGTGGCCGAAACTGTGCAGTCGAATACTCGAATTGCACCCATGGCCGGAGCGACGGCCTTTATCAAGGCCGAAGTGATGGTTTCTACTATAATCGGAATGACGATCGCTTACCATGTCCGGAGTGATGGCCGCAGTCACGGTCTGAACAACGGCCACTGTTACCGCAGGAATGGCGACTGCTTACCACG